TTTTACTTTCTTTAACTCTCTTTGCGAGAATTTAACAAAAAAATATTATTATGAGAAATTAGCTATGTATTTACCGCGCTTTTGAAAGAAAGAAATATATTGTAAAGTTTTAAGTTATAGGATAAAGGCCGATGTTTTGTGACAGGCCCAGATACCGGTATGTTTCAGCCTCGGAGAGGGTTTTGATATTGGAGGGATCCGTAACGATCCCCTCAATTATTATTAATATTATATATATATATATATATATATATATATATATATATATATATATATATATATATATATATATATATATTACGTAATATGACAGTATAGTATATTGTATGTGCACATAATAATTCCAATTAAAAAATTAGCGTTTTTAACGTATAGATCAAATGTTATTTCACGTTGATTTGAAATACCTACAATTAAATAACAGTGTAGTACTGTCCCTCGCTAGTTATTACATCGCAAGTTTTAGAGCCTAAATTATAAGCTTATATACCTATATTTCGTAACACTATATTTATCACTGTTAACAATTCACTTTTGCGCCTTGCGTTCGGGTCACACATTAGAGAGACTATGTCTAAAGCAAAGATTTCAGTATAGTATAGATGGAATGCATAATTTACATAGTGTGTTTCTCGTTCTATTTATGACATTGCCAATGCGTTAGAGAAGGATAGACATATAATAAAAACGCATCTACCTTTTAAATAGTCCGTAGAAGTCAAATTCATCAGGATATGTCACACTTGGTTTTATTGGCCGTATACTAGTACAGTATTATATCGTCATAGTCGTAGAATACTGACGGATCTATATATGTAATATTTGTCAGATCCGTCAGTATTCTACGACTATGACGATATTATCTGTGTCGATATTCAGTCGATACAGGTGAAAGGTCAAACACTAGCGGAATAAATTTTTTGTAGATTTGCCCTTGAAATTGCTATTGGAGGAGGTTAATCAAACTCTTAGTAATCAATTTAATTAAGTTTATTGGATATTTTTAAGTTTAGAAAAGAAAGTAACATAGAACCCAAACTTAGCAAGAGAATAATATTCGGCCACATTCTTGAGTAGACCTTGTAATAAAGTAAATTTTAATTATATATAGACGTAATTCATATTTCAAAATAAAAAGAAATATGAAATACAAAGCTAAAACTGTCAAATCATATTTGACATTATTATTGTTAGTTTTTTTTTTTGATGGGTGAAAATGGTATAGCCCCGCCTGCGCTAACGGGATACGCTGGCGGAGCACCAGTGAAGGGTGATAGATGAGAATGAAAACAGGCCAGTTAGCCCATCATGATGAATTCATTAGGAATTAACCATGATAGTTTCCAGGGGGAACCGCGAGGTGGTCGACCTGGTTGGGTATATTGCTAGCAACAGGATTTTCAGTCTCCATTACTAACAATCCATTTCCCCCTATTTTTGTTAGTTAAGTTGGCACTATTGTGATTTCATCATCCAATAAATTGATAAAGGTGTTTTTAATAAAAAATAATTCCATACATTAAAAGCTGGTATAAAAGTTACGCAATACTGGGTATATTTATTAGTAAAACAATCTCTTAATTTTGTCCATAGCATTGTCATCTATGGAATGAAATAAGAAACTTTTGTTGTATTAACTATAATCGAATGGATCAACTCAAATAAGTTCCTAAATTATAGATGTCGTTTACCCTTATTAATAAAATGAATTTTGACAATATCTATTGATGGCATTGCTATTAATGGCATTAAGTTTTTTTTTTTTATTAACAAAGTAGTTGTTTGAAAGAAAAATTAAATAAATACAAAAAAAAAACAAAGTCGTAATGTTAGACCATCTAACTTATTTGTTACTGCGCTGAGGTTTGAACTCGATGTAATGCATCTAGACAGTTACGAGTATTTAACTAAATAGCTAACGCTAAGTGTAATGCTGTTGGGATTATGAGACTCATAATACGTGAATAGCCAAATAGCTGGCTATTTAGCCGTTAGTCGCTTATTACACCATAAATAGCCGTATAGCACATGATATACTTGTGTAGTTACCGTCATGTAGGTCCGGCATACAGTAGGCCACCCCCTTACTTTTTCCGTGAGTGTCGTAAGAGGCGATTAAGGGGACTTAAGGGATATGATGATGATAATACTTGTGTAATTAAGAGTTTTGTTAAGTTTTTATTAAGTAATAAATGTAAGTTAATCCGTTTAATTAATAAATACCAGCATATTAATCTAAGTGCATCAATATAATTAGCTAGCTGTTTGTTACTTCGTACGCATGGATTTCAGAAGTAGGAAAACCAGTAATATGCACCACTCCTAGATGGCGTATCAAGATAAAACATGCATCAGATTTTAAGTGAAACTATCAGAAATTTTTATCAAAAATAATTTGCGGAGCAGTAGTTTTTGCATCATACCGTACATACAGACAACATTTCAAAAAAATATTTTATTTACCAACTATCGCTCTTATATCGATATATTTTTCTTTAATATCTCCGTATCATGTACAGACACAGTCTAGGTATAATTTTATTATAACAGTAAGGTAATTGTAATTAGAATAAGTATTCCTATCTATCGACGGTGTATGTTTATGACAAATTTGTAAATTGGTGCTAAGCCTATTTAAGTAGGCACTTCTTTTTTTATTTTTATTGTACAGTCTATTTTTGTATATTTTTTTATGCAACTTAGAATGGCAAACAAGTTGAGAGCCCACCTGATGAAAATGGTAACCATCGCCTATAGAGCAGTACATGAGCAGTACTATGGACATAACAAAATACTGAACGCCTACCATGAAATGTTTTCTGAAATTTCGGTTCCGAATGAAACACAAATTTGATGTTAAAATTACTTAATACTTACCGTTTAAAAACATAAAAAATGCTAAAGTATAGTTCCTTTGTACTTTTATGGTAGGATTTATGATAAACGAAACGTTAAGCTCCATTTACTGGGTCGATTTCGGTATGAACAAAAACATGAAATTGAGTCCGAAAATTCGGAATTTCATTTCATGGTAGACCCCCTGTTTCGCCCATGGTACCTACCCCATGCGTTGCAATTTCTGAGAACTCAGGTATTATTCCTCTGTACCTATAAACTCACTGCCATATCCCACTCTTCAAACCAAAACACAGCCATGCAAACATAACTGCTTCAAGGTAGAAACATGAATGCGAGAGAAGTGCCCAAGCAAACAACTTTTGCACAAAGTCTCCTTCAGGCAGGCTGGTGGCTGTGATAATAACAGCAATAGCAATATCATCAGCTGTCGAACAGCGATAGGTTTATGCAGCAACTTGAAAATAGGTGGCAAAGAGTCTAAGTTACTAGCCAGTCTTAATTGAAGTAAGAGTGATGACGTTTGTAGCGTTACTATAATAATGTTTACTGTTACTTTATATAAATAAAAAGTAAAATAAAAGAACGACTAATCTGCTAAGGATGGGTTGTTAAAGTTGACCTTAATAAAATGCATATGTGCATGGACTTGAAAAATCTTTCCATTTCTCTCATCATTTAATGTAATGATTGATTGGATTTAGAATTACTATATATGATAAAATGATAATTTATAATAGTTAAACTTGTTTGCCATTCTAAGTTGCATAAGAAACAAAAGTTCTCGTAATAGAGGGATTATGTCAATTGTATTGTTTGATAGAAGGAAGGAGGGGGAGAGGTAGACCGAGACATAGTTACATCAGGCAGATCAAGGAAGGAGTTGGTGTCGTCTCGTATCAAGAGGTAAAGAGACTTGCTGAAAATCGTAGTGAATGGCAAGAGCTCTACTGACAAGAGCGCAGCTCTTAAATGGATAGATAGATAGTTTGTGAATAGATTCAGATACCTAGAGGGATTTGCTTTATTGAGCGCCAGATAGCGGTATGAATTGTTGACTGTCAAGTTAACAGACTATCAGTCGACATTGCTGTGATGTGAATGAAGATTTTTTGTACGACGAATGCGGGTAAATAAACACGAAAACAAATTACAAAAAAGCTTTTTAGTATAATTACTCTTTTTTATATCCTTTTAGACATTACATGATGTCTAAAACTGACATATATAAGCAATATAATCTTAAGTATTTGGATCAGATTTAAAATAATAAACGCAACAGTTGCTTTACTAAACTTTCCATTTTCATTAATCGCAAAACTTGTAAAGCCATTGAAATTATTATTGTTTCAAATCAAGAAAATATTCACGCTCTAAAAAGGGTTTTGTGTGGTCACAGATAATATAATACTATATTAGGTCTGGTGAAACACGCATCCAAATCTTAAGACCAGGAACATATTTCCGAAGTCAATATTACTTGTGCAACGCCTAAAATAACAAATGCAATAGTTTCCAATTCTCCGAAAATTAGAAAATATACATTTATCTTGTTGTCCGGCTTAATGTTATTTTTTGAGATAATTGGTAATTGCTGATGCTAAAGTCTCCCAGAGGACAAGTTTGCATGTGCACGTTACATGAACACAAGCAAATATTCTGTTCTGATGTAAATCAAGAGCGTTATCGTTTTGTATAACTTGCAATGCCACAAGGGTTTACTTGTTAATATAATATTGAATACATCCAAAACTCCAAAAATTATCCAAACTCCAATACAAATACAAATATAATGAGTCATCATCATTAAATTTTTTTGTTATTTAGCATAATTTATAAAAACAACTTCAAATGTTAGGTTTATACAATACGCCCGATACGAATATAACCTTCAAGAAAAGAGCATATTCCTTTTTAAAAGGCCGGCAGCATACCTGCAATGCCGTTGGGGTTGTGGGTGACCATGGGCGGCGGTAGTCACTTACCATCAGGTGAGCCGCATGCTCGTTTGCCCCCTGTGTTGTAAAAAAAATTTCTTCTTTTTTAAAATTTCTAAATTAGATATAGTATAAATATAATAATAATTTTTCATCAGCTGTGTGTTGAATAAACAAAAACGAGAGTCATAAATCAAAACTACAAAATATTTAAACTATGAAACTATATAATTTAACTAATGACGAACGACAACTTCACGCATTCTGCTTCACCACGTGAGATAGATCATATTTGCCGCGTACGCATTTGAGTTTTACACCAGGACAGTCCTTTAGCCTGAAAATTTAAATAAAAAAAATTATGTAAATAGAAAATTGTGACAGTTCGTCATAGTCGTAGAATACTGACGGATATATATATGTAATATTTGTCTGATCCGTCAGTATTCTACGACTATGACGCGTTCACAGGCTTCCAAGTCTATTTATTTTTCCTAGTTTTATACTTACAAAATGTATTGTTAGTGTGTAGTGTAGTGTTAGCTAGATTTAAATTCACGACAATTGAGGTAACATATTACGCCTAATCTAATGGTGATAAGCTTGAAATAAGTAACTGAAATAGTAATGTCAATAAAAACTGGATGTCTAACATAAAATGAAATTCTGAATTTTCAATTTCTGAGTTATAATTAAAAATTATTTTGGCCCTTATAATGGAAGTATCGTGACCAATTTATCGTTGAATTCGTCACCATGGGCTTTTTTTTAAACGGGTGATAATGAAATGGTAATCCCGCCCGCGTTATCCCACCAGTGGAAATTAATAAATGAGAATGAATACAGGTCACTTGGCCCATTATGAGGAATTTGACAAAAATTAACCATGATGGTTTCCAGGGGGACAGCGTGGAGATGGTACCTGATGGTACGCGTACCTGAGATGGTATATTGTTAGTAATGGGACTATTAGACTTTATTACTAACAATCCCTTTCCCCCCCGTCACCACGGGCTAACTGATTTGTCATTACCCTTTCCCCCTACCATTAACATAGTTTTAATGTTAGAGAGAAAGGGATTGTTAGTAATGGGGAGGTTAGTCCCTATTCCTATCAATATACTTTATCTCCACGCGGTTTCCACTGGAAATTATCGTGACTAATTTATCGTTGAATTCGTCACAATGAGCTAACTGACCTGCCTTTTCGTACTCACCTGGTGCCCCGCTAGCGTATACCGATAACGCAAGCGGTGGTACCATTCCATTATCACCTATTAAAAAAAATCATAGTGATTGGTTAAGTTGTCAAAGCGCTATAAGGAAACAAACAAACCAACTTATTTTCACATGTATAATATTAGTAAGGATTTGAAACAGAAAAATAAAGCAAACTATTCTTGATACATCACACAGCGCCATCTACTCTCAAATTAAGTAAAGTTTATATTATGACATTAGAAAAATACTTATGTACATTTAAAATAACAAAAATTATATTAACCTAATTTACTTTATTACATAATCAAATTATATTATCCTATTATATAATCTGTGTACATTTTAGTATAACCTAATATATATAAGTGAATGTACAAAAGCATATAAATAAATAAACAACACAAAATCGCATAAATAAAATAGTACGTATATCAGATAGTTTTGTTTACGCGATATGGAATGGCAAACTAGCTATTGGCCCACTTGATGGATTCCTGAATAGAATGGTAAATATTATCTATCTTTAGGGAAAAGAGATAGTAAATAATGCGAACTACCAGTCCCATCGCTACCACCCTGGAACCCATCGTGCTAAATTCCAAGTATATTCATCACAACGGGTTTATTACCCTCCTTTTCATTTTCATCTATCATCCCTCATTGATGCCCCGCCAGCATACTGTTAGTGTAGGTAGCATTACTACTACATTATCATCCATTAAAAAAGAAAAATAAAATTATTGCTCATCTGTAGAGTACTACTACTTTGTAATTAAAAGTTTTTATACCTTCCAACCCTAACAAGTACAATGTTGTGTTCTTGTAAGTTGTGCCCAATGCCTGGTACATATGCTATCATTTCCTTTCCGTTGGACAAGCGAACTAGCACACATTTTCTGTTTGCAGAGTTAGGTTTCTTTGGTTTCTTGATTAAGGTTTTTAATACTACACCCTGGAAAATTAAAGTGAATATCATTGAAAAAATTTGACATTACTTTCTAGTCCTAAACTAAATACAGCTTATATTATGGGTATTATACAATTAGCCTTCTACTTTGTTAATATAGATTGAAAAGTAGGAGGAACCAATGAAATAATTAACCATTTTTACATGGCATATTATAATAAAACATACCAGATTTTAAGTTATTCCTTCAGGAATACAACTATTAAAAGGCATCATTTATTTTATACATATTGGCCTACAAGGACATAGATTACATAAACATCTATATCCATAGATGTGACCATTGTCTATGCAGCTTTCATGCTATTAATATCCAGATGGCCATGATATCTAGACATTTTTTTATAATTTTAGCTGTTATCTGTCCACTGTTGAACATATGCCTTTCCTATAAGGGGAGTTTTGCCAGTAGTTGCCACGCTTGGCAGGCAAGTTGGCAATTGCAGTTAGGCTTTTACAGATGTTTTAAGAGGGATGCTGCTGCCCATCCCTTCACCACAAGCTTCCATGGGAAAGGAAGGGGTGGTCCATTCTATCCCGGGACCAACGTGGCGAAAAACATTAACCATTTAATTTATTAAGTATAATAAGTTAATTTAATTATTAAACTTTTGCAAATATGAAAATTTGTAAAGATATTAGAATATGATAATCATGTTGTTTGTTTTTGAATGATATTTGGTACACACATTGTTCAAAGAAGATACAGGTTCCATTTTAAAAAAATTTACAACTTATTTTAAGTTTACCTTTGCAAATGGGTTCCCATTCAATGGATTTCTAGATTTCCTCTGTTTAATATGCGGTCCAGTTCTGTGCATTTGGGCCAATGATGCCATAGTACGAGCTAGAAGACTCAATGGAGAGGTATTCATTGTTTGGATAATGTTTGTAGATACATTATTTAACACTGGAACTAAATAAAAAAAATAAAATAAAATCAATAAATAATATACATATTTTAGTAGTAAATGCACATCCTACTTCATTTTCTGCTTGCCTTATGGTTGACTGGTAGAGAATGCCATTAGATGTTAAGTCCGCCCATATTTACACTTATTTATATTCAGTGGCCTAACTATACCATTTAGGGCTTGTGGAAAATTCTTTTGATGGGGCTCTATCATTTATTTTTAAGTAAAATAAAATACTCAGGTACAAGGTAAAAAAAAATCTGAGCTAGCGGTCGGTTTGAGCCGGGGCTTTTTAGGTCGGGGGCCTGTGGCATTTTGCCAGCTCTACCACCCTATTGTTACACCACTGCTTATATTATATAATTGTGCCATAAAGATTAAATAAATAAATTGTAACTATCCCCAACATTTAATGTGTCAAAAAAAAAAATGTAAAAATAGACAGATTTTTTTCTTAAGATTTACAATAAGTTCAGGTACAGACTTAGAACAGGACCTTCTGGTGACAACTTATTAGGAGTTTAATTCCAATTTGACTTGTAAGTATAAGTTTTAAACATATTAGGTAACAATTCTTGTTAGTTACATTTAAAATTAGTGGCCTGTTACTTGTTTTTTTTATTAAATTAAACTCTAATTATTAAGCTAAAAAAGTATAAGAACGATTATATTAAGTGTAACTAACTATAAATATGCGGGGGAAAGGAAGTGTTAGTAATGGGGTCTAGCATTCCCATTGCTAGTAATAAACTCTATAAGGTCACTCTTCACGCGGTTCGCCCTGGAAACCATTGTGGTTAATTTTTGTGGAATTCGTCACGATGGGTGAGGACTGGTACCCCGCCAGCGTATACTGATAGTGTAGGCGAGATTACTATTCCATTCTCATCCATTAAAAACTATAAATATGCAAATTTTCGGCAAAAATTACCTTTGACTTCATTATATTGTGATTTGATTCCCATAGATAGAAGTTTGATTCCTTTCCTTAATATATTCATTTTTAATAAAATATATTAGATTACTTTAAATGTAATATAGAATGATAGAATTAAATAATAAAAATATACACAGTATTGTGCAAATTATAACCTATAAAATTGTTGACTTTTTTCCTGTCAATGTCAAAGTGTAATCTGTAAAAGATATATTGGTCTAATATTGAGAGCTGACAAGTTTAACGTTTTATTAAATTTCCCAAAGTTTAGGTACACTTCTTGATATCTGATGTGTAATTAATTATAAATAATTTTATACGCGACAGTAGTGAGTATAAATTAAAATTACTTATTTAATATTTTTTGGGAAATTATCTTCATCACTTAATTTTCTGAATTATTATTATGAACCTTCCTTTACTTTACAGTGGAAGGACTAAGCTTATATCACAGATTAGTGATTGCTCTGAATGTAGATAGATAGATAAATATTATTTCACTAGATGGCGCTTAAAATCCTAATTAATTTAATCCTGTATAGTGATGCATTCATGTGCTAGATGGTTCTATACGTAATTCAATTAAAGTATTTTTCGTTCGTATGCTTTTTACATGAATCTTCGTTAAATCTGTTTTCAATGGGCTTTCTTAATTGAAAGGAGACACTAAAAAGTTTATCTAACCTAGCTTCTGTTCTGTAACTTCAGAATCGTCCATAAATTTATTTGTGTTTACCCTTAAATTGTCACTAATCTAAATTTATTAGTGGAGATAAGTATAAAGAAGTCAAATATTTTCATTTTACACCAAAGTTTTTTTTTTAATAAAACGTTTAATGACTATTTTACTTTTAAATGTGGTGACTTTGAGAACATCCGTTAAAATGAACAATGTGTCACATTTAAATGACTAAAATGTGTGTAAAATAAATAAACATTCATTTGTAACAAAAGAAAAAACTCATATTAGATATAGGTTATTAATAATTAAGTTTGAATTAGAAACTTTAAAACATCAGCCAATTTAATTAAAAGATAATAGGTTTGCCTAACCAAAATATAAAGGTAGGCATTAATATAATGTTACAGATTGTTTCTTTTGAGATAAACATATCTATCTCCCTTTATTATAAAATTAATTTGCCTAATATTATAAGTAAACAAGATCTAAAAGTAAACTAAAAACAACAGTGAAAGTTATGACATTTTCACTTAAATACTACTATCGTTTACATTTTTAAAAGCATGTTACTCTTTCTTAAATGGGACATAGTCTATATTATTTCAACAAACTTTTTTGATTACACATTTTGAATGAAATACGTATTCCTAGGATCATCTATTCTTGCGACAGTTGAATGAATAAAATAACAGGTACAGTACTGTACAGTGACTTTAATTTTATTTCTCATACATTCAGGATTAAATTAAAAACTTCTGTCGTAATCTCTCCAAGTTTTATTGGGCCGCTTAGCGAATATTTGACTTTTACATTTATATTGGAATTTTACCATAATCCCGGAGAAGTCGGCTCGACTGATTTTACGTTATAGATGCTTGAACAGTGTCTAATATCATTTATAATCCATTTTATGGGTTCACGTTCAGGACCAAGGATATAGATCCCGATAAGTCTGTATTCTGTATCCATAAAATTTTATGTTATTATTTTGAATGTCCACAATATTATTTGCGTAGTATTTTAACGATACTATATTATAAGCGCGAGTTACTGATGCTCAGGTGCACTAAAGGAACAATTGGTTGAAAACGGGTAAATCATACAGCTCGAAGAATAGACGATCGTTTGGTGGAAAGAAACTTTTTCTAGGGGCGACCTCGAACAGGTAAATTTATTATAAAGCAATGCATAGCTACTAGAAATAGTGTCGATATTATGTTTTATAGATAATCATAGACGGTGGCAGCGAGTTCCATATCAAATACATATAATTTATTAAACTACTTACTATAACAATATATATACATATATACATACACATACACATACACATATATATATATACATATATATATATACACATATAATATACATACAAAATACATAAACATACACATATAAATACATACATAGCGCACTGCCTGAACGGAAAAAATGGATTTGGTGTAATGGCCTCTATTAATTTTCTATCATCATCATTGACATTATAGCCATTATCTGTCCTCTGCTGAACTAAGCCACTCGTTTACGGCTGGAGATATGTTGAGAGAACCTTCCTAATAATATATCAAAATCGACAGTATTACCATGACGGATATCGTCGGTGATTTTGACAAGAGCAGTAGTCGTAGATTGGGTTTTTTAGGGAGAGGAAGTATATGTGCGTTTTTCCAGACAGAAGGGAAAACTCCCGAGGACAAGGAATTATTGAAAACCAATGCCATAAAGAATGGTCCGCTTTAGTGGTGTTATCAATAACAGCGGAAGAGCAGAAACGCCTGGCTGTTAGTCACCTTCAGGATTTATGAAAGTGGCCGTTGAGCTTCTTATTACAGTGATTTCTAACACGTATATACTGTTCACGATATTTTGTGGGATCAGATTTAAATTTAGACTTGCAATGTATTTCATCTGTCAACCAAGGTCGTTACTCCATCTAGTGATGAGATTATTAAATATTACGATCTGATCATCAACAGTATTGGCACTATGAACTAATGCCCAGTCCAGATCCAGTACTTCCATAAAGAATGGTCCTGAGTCACCTGGTCCACTGACTACCTGCAATGTATTTGAGGTCGTTACTCCATCTAGTGGGAGGTTGTCATACACTGCTTTTGCCTGTACGGGGTTGATTTTGTTTTTTTTTTCTATAAAATATAATAATTGTTCGATTCTACATAGTTGCATCCTTATCGTTTATTGATGTATTGCCTTTGCCATTTGCTGAATATAATCTTTGACTTGTATGCAATGGAAACCGAGTTTACTGCTATTCTCAGATTTTTTAGTATCGACTAGAATCGAACTCACGTCTCACTCACTTGCGTCGAGTTAAAAGAATCGCTGACAAAGCCATGACGCTATAAAAAAAAAATCAAGTAACATTTTATGTACGACGACGTATTTTTATAATAAACACAGGATTGAAATGAAACATTGTATGTAAGTACTTATTTATTGATTTGTAGAATGAGTTTTAATGTTAATTTCGCAAATATATGGCTGGTGAAGATGACACCAGTAGGACCTGAGACCAAAGTTTGCCGCGTCAATACCCACACAATGCGGCTCTGCTGGATTAGAACTGTAAATGACCACAAAAAATGAATAGAAAATAGTATTCAGAGAAAAGCTAATGTTTATTTTATATTCAAAGTCTTGAAATATAATAGACCTTGGCTTTATACAAATGCGCTACATAATTGCACCTATTGTCCAGTTTATTTATTTATTTTACACTTTATTGCATTAAATAAAAAATACAATAAATATTGATGAGAAGGAAGAGATACAAAAGGTGGCCCTATCGTTAAGCAAATTCTTTCCGACAACATTTGGGTAGAGGACATTGAGAAAAAGACAGTTCTTAAGTTTACTACAGGATCTTTTGGTTTTTTTAAAACAGAGTTTTGAGAAAATAAAAGAAATCTATGATTCAGATACGATACACTTTAAAAACAATCGTTACCTGACGTGGACTGATTGGTACATTAACCTGTGGAAAATATAAGTTATAAGAAGAAGTAAAATGTGAATTACACGCATCACGCACTAACGAATGTACTGGGGTTGATTTTCCTTTAGTATCATTTATTATTATATAGCGATCACATTTTATGGACTGTTTTCTTTACATTGTTATATTGATTTGTCAGTACACATATAGCGAGGTTTTTTTTAGTATATATCTACATGTCTATAGTAGGTATCTGTATGTCGATATAATGAGCACTCACCTGATTATCATTCCATTGTCTCCGGCCCAAGTATGAAATCCTGTATCCTCTATGTTTTCATCTATAATAATAGTATATATAGAGTATAGTATAAAAATGATATAAATATATAAAAGCGCAAAGGAGAAAAATACGAAACCAACTTTTATATATATATATATATATATATATATATATATATATATATATATATATATATAATTCTTCTTTGACTATATATACTTCGTATATATATATATATATATATATATAAACAGGGGATATATATATATATATATATATATATATATATATATATATATATATATATATATATATATATATATATAATGGGAGACAGGCGTACAGATATGTATGTATGTATATATATATAACATAATAGTTAACTAATAGAAAAGTATAAAAGTGCTTCGTGAAGACTACATATTACTGAATACTCTATTTAGTAATATGTAGATACATTGTGCATTTATTTGCATGTATCTATTTATATAATATTGAAAGTCATCAAATAATTTATAGTTTTATGCACATGTTTTCACGAAGCACTTTTATATCAGTTAACTATCATGTTTGTTTCCGTAAAATTGGCTCACTGATCTATATTTGTAAAACCCTGTGCCTTGGTAATCGCTTATGAACTTCCGTAATACAGGTTCGCCTAGTGCAGGGTCCAAAGTACTCATGTTGTATATTTCTTGTGTTTAATAAATAAATACAATATGGAATGGCAAAATAATGTGAAATAGAGCCATGCGAGCAGAGCTGCTTTATGATAGGTAAGAACACAAATGGGACAGACTTTCTACATTCTCCTTATGGTACACAAATTAAGCGAAGCTATAAATACTAGTGCTGTGTGGTCCCAGCATAGAATGGACCACCTCTTCCTTTCCCGTAATTGTCTGACTAAGGGGTGACTAAGGGGATTTAATGGTTCAGTGTCTCTCTTAAAACATTACCAAAGTCTAACTACGGTTGCCAACTCGCCTGTCAAGCGTGGCAACTACTGGCTAATCTCCTCAATAGGAGGAGGCCTATGTTCAGCAGTGGGCAGTTAATGACTAATAGAATTAATGAATCAATAATATGATGATGAATGAATATAATGATACATACTTAAACAGATTTTTTTTGTAAATATATAAAAAAACAACCAGTCCAATATAAACATACATTTAAATGTTGCAACTATTCGAAGGCAGTGTGTTAAATTACTACACCATCAATGTCCCCGATATCTTTTCATATATTTCATAAATCAAAGTACCATCAATCAAAATGCCGATAAGCAATGCTTTGTTATGGTAATCTGAAGTATTGGGAGAAGCGCGTTATTTATCAAATAAAGGAGTTTATACGTACCATCGATGTTTGTCCATGTCGTCGAGTTAACGACGTTGTATACGCCTAGCCATACAAGTAATTTATATTTGCTACCAATTATGTTCGGATATTTCATAGATCGTACAATCTTCTGAATAAACGTAAACTGCGCCTGAAGAAATATAAATATTTTTACTATAATTCAGAACAGAAAAAAATAGCTAGGTATATACACATATTAGACCTATATATATATACCTATATTAGACCTATTGAAAGGGAACACCTACTAAAACTTTAGGAAAGTACATGACATTAAATTAAATAACTAAAAGAGCCTACAAGACAAGTATAAACCTCTTTTAAACAATTTTTAGGGTTCTTAATTTTTATTTATATTTTTATTATATTTATATTTCTTATTTATTTATTAATAATATATCTTAAGTGATATCTTCGCCAATTCTGAATCGATTTTCATAATTCCTTCTTTTAATTGATACATAGGGTTTAATATCGTATTGGTGCCTTTTTGATAATATCATGACCCAATTTTCTGTTGCTTTACGAAGGAAAATTTTACATATGTAATCGTAAAGTATACAGATATATAAAAGATTAAAAAAATATTTTCATGCTCCTTTGCATTCAAAATGTGTTTGAAGAAATATTGGTATAGTCGAATGCAACAAGTCCACTAACGCATCTGTTTGCCCCTTTTGCGTTATCTAGCCGGATAGTTAAGTCGTATAAGTATTTTTTTAAATAAATAATTTATTCACGAAAAAAAGCTATTAAATGAGTCTTCTTCAATCATTACATTTTTAGGCATTTATATGAACAAACTTTTCAAATATATTTCGAACTTGTTTGTAACAAATAGATATCTGTATTCATTGCAATCTAATATAGCGAATCCTAGTAGTTAACTTAGACATGTTCCTCTTCCAATGCTAAGTAAGAGCTTAGCGAATGTTTAAATTTATTTAGTGGAAGTTCCGATGTATCCTTGGGGATTTTATTGAATTATTTAATGCTCATTCCCATAAAATACCTATTAACTTTTTCTAAACGGAATAGTTGGAACAACGGCTATTTTATTTATATCTAGGTAAATTTTTTTTATTATATACAAAACCTAATTATATTTGTTCTCATAATTGAATTTTTCCTTGAATTTGTTTCTTTTATTATTATTTGTACGTCAGTAATGCTTTTCCGCCCCGGGACCACGAGTTTTTGTTTAAACTAAAAATATTTTTGCCTAAAGTATTAAAAATATATATAATTAATAGATAGGTCTTAAAATGAATCTGAACAAGACCAAGATAATGTTAAGTCTAACATGTCTAACATCCATGTTCCACCTATACCGGTTACCGGAACATTATCTTAAATTATATTCGAGCTTGTTGATTAATGGGACATCTTGTCAGACTGGGTAAATTCATTTTATATTGAGAAACCAGTCAGCGAACCCGTTTTGGTTTGACAGCAACACATTGTTTTATCCAAAATATCTACTTCAATGTCGAAATGTTAATAGTATGCTTGGAATTTTACTGGGGATACCCGCAGGTGATATAGTCCAAAAGGATCACCAAAATGAAGTGGCAATACCTTTTGCATAGTTGAAATAACCTAACTCGGCAGAGTATAAGGGTCTAACAAATGTAGTGTAGGGGTTTGTAATAGATTATTGATCTTGTAATAACGATGCCAGACTGCAAGTGCGTAGCATATTATTAATTACACAGTATCATTGAAGTTTTGATTTCACGTTTGTTACATTTCTTATTTTATTTTAATTTCCATATTTTGATTGGATTACATTAGTTAAGAGTAGTAGAGAGTAAGAATAGTGTGAACTAAACAAACTTCTTAATTTTAAACAATTAGCCCACATTCGGTTGATGCTATAGTTACTTGGTACTTATAAATATAAATTACTCCATATTTAAACTTATTGCTACAATAACAATTATTGTATGTAAATGTAAATGTAAATGTTTTATTAAGTAATTTTGCTTTCCTGTACAATGTCAAATTTTAAGTTTCACGAAATTACAAATTTAATAACAACTTTGTTTATATACCTTATTCGAGTTTGCCACTATAAAAGATTATTATTAATATTATAACATATAAAATACTCCTAATAGTTTAACTTTATTATTATCTTTTGTTAAATACAAGTTTGAAATGATCAAATAAAATGAATAGTAAAAAATAAAACAATATTTACCTCTGATTTGGGTACCGCTAACTTAGCACCAGTTTCAACACATTTATCCCTAGCACGAGCCCAGGGTTCAGCTTTGTACATTAACTTATATCCATATCCATCTGCTTCGTTTATGATGTATTCTGTAAAGTTATTTGTAGATAGGTATAATTCAGCTATCATTTTATATAAAATAGGTAGTTTTCATTGACTAAACTACGATATGTCGCGCCTGTTTTATTTGTCACATGATTATTTGTTCAGATTTATTTAAAACTAACAGATTTTTTCATATTTTTTTATTCTTTATTGTACACAATAATAATTAAAAATAATAGTGCATAAAGGCGAGCTTATCTCTTAAATCAGATTTTTTTATACGTTTAGATTAATTGTGGATTTAGTACGAAGATAGATAATTTTCTTAAACACATTGTTATTAATATACATATTTTCTTCTTTTTTTTCTTGAAAAATAACATGGACAATTCTTAGCGAATTAACTACGAAGGGCTAACTGACCTGATTTCATTTTTATCATTTCATCCTCCATCATACATACATTATGTGTATTATGTCATGGCTGTGTATAATTTCATCTTCATACATAAAACGCATACATACATACATTTGTATTTTATGTCTTATTTCTCTATTTGATATTAGTGTGTATAATAAAGTTATAAAGTATAAAATAAATTACAAATAAAAAAATGTAAACTACATGAACACAACTGTAGTCGATCAGTTTATAACGTCATATAAACAATGGATAGTTTAATCAAAAGAAAATATACAAAGTTTATTTCTGTAGTAGTTGAGATGGTAAGTGGGTGATATTGACAGTATTTTTATGAACATGTCAAGTTCTAGCAATCCAATGAATAATTTTCTATGATATGCCGTGACATTCTCTCGATTAGATACACTGCGGTTTATTATATATTTCATATTTTTACTTCTCCAACTATGTAATAAATATTTTATATCTAAAGAAATTTTTTTATGTAAACAACAACATTATGTAAAATATTTTGTAGGACGATATTTTTTACATTTTAACTTAATTAAGTACATAGCTATTTATAATAATCAAATTTTAAGTAACTTATGTACGTTTTAAATTATTTTTGATAAATAGGCGTTCAATGATGTGACTTTATATTAACCTAAAAATTTTTTTGATTAATACATCTCTATATTGGGGGGAAAGGGATTGTTAGTAACTGCGACTGAGACTGACTAGTTAGAGACTGAGAATCCCATTGCTAGCAATATATCCAACCAGGTCGACCTCCTCGCGGTTCTCTCAGGAAACTATCATGGTTAATTCCTGATGAATTCATCATGATGGGCTAACTGGCCTGTTTTCATTCTCATCTATCACCCTTCACTGGTGCTCCGCCAGCGTATCCCGTTAGCGCAGGCGGGGTTACCATACCGTTTTCACCCATAAAAAAATACATCTCTATAAAAGAGAACTTTTATATTATCTATACATAAATATTAGTTGTATTCTGCAGTTGCGTCCATAGTCGCATCGTGATGTTGAATAGCCCATAACCTTCTACAAGAAATGAATAATAGCTCATTGAAAATAATAAAAAAAAAAAAATTCCGATTTCAGAAATAGTTATTACTATTATTGGGTAATTCCAGAGATAATACGTTCAAATAAACAAACTCTTTCATTTTATATACCTATTAGTATAGATTATACATACCTCCTGGGACATCACTTCGGGTATATGCAGCCAAAAAGAAAACCATCAAAATAATGTATAGCCTGAAAAAAGATTATTATATTTATATTTAGTTTAATATAAACAACAAACATTATTATAGTTAATGAAATACGGTTCGTTCAATTTAGATTAATGATAAATTATTTTACATAAAAAAATTTAGATTAACACACGAAGCAACATAGCAAAATTGTTATTATTAAATACAACTATTTAATTAAAAGTTCTCTTCATTCTCCATAATAAAAAAGAACTTACCTCATTTTTTTCTACACTAATAACAATTGTTATGTGAATTATTGTAAAACGAAGTCAACGCACCGTAAGAAACGTATAGAAAGTGGCAATACGTGCCGCAGAATGAAGAAATGGAAACTATAAATGAGTAATGCAGTGACAATGTCCACATGGAAAAGTTTACATAGCGAAGGATAAGTATTACCGTTGGTTTTATCTAGAATAACTCATATATGCCATGGTCACTTCCATAAATATCAATGGAATAGATTAAATCATATTTACCAAGGTGTGTTACGCCGTAATAATTAGGTATGCTTATATTTAAAAAAATATTACTATATATGTCGTGTGAATTTTGAGCGTTATGTTTACCACAATGGTGGTAATTGCCTTTGATTACTCAAGCAATATCGTCATCATCTTATACATCGTTAACTGCCCAATCTAGAACGTAGGCCTTCCCCATATGAGAAGTTTGGCTAGTAGTTGCCATGCTTAGTAGGGGAGTTGCCAATCACAATTAGGCTTTGGTGATGTTTTAGTAGGGACGCTGCTACCCAGCCCTCGATAATTAAGTTCTCTTACACGCTTCTTATGGCACCCACGGGAAAGAAACGAGTGGCCCACTCTATGCTGGGACCACATAGCAACCATTGGGTATTACACTCGTTAGCATTTTAATTTACTCGCTATTTGCCACGGCTTTGATTGCATCAATCAGTACATATAGTAATAAAGATTCGTTCAGCAGTTTAAGCATCCTATAATAAAGTTATCTACGATTTATTATTATCGTAATGTATTGTTAACATCATAGATTAAATTCATGTTTGGATGTTTGTCAGCAGGCGGCTTAATCTTCATATTACATCTTTGAAGAGTAGAGACGGGCCAGGTACTTAGTTTAAAAAGTCTTTATTCTTTCATACAATACATTGCTTCGTCCACTTTCGTCTGAAGCACCTAAACCGGTTTTTAAACCTTTTAATTTCTCTCTCAAACTTTTTACGACCTGACTGAAGGTCAGTCTGTTTGTTTCAATAGTACCTACCTGCATCTGTCAACTTCCGCATTTCGCATCGTCCTTATTCTTGACATAATATTATCATCTTTAACAATAATATTATAAACATGAATGTTGTTTTGTTTGTTAATTATTAGCAATCAAATGAGTGAACCAATCGTCTTAAATTCTGCATACAAATGGCATTTGATTTTTTTTTATACAACTTTGAATGGCAAACAAGCTGATGGCCCACCTGATGGAAAGTGGTAACCGTCGCCTATAGACATAAGCAGTGCCATGGACATAACAGAGTATACTGTTTCGCCCATGATACCCCCCATGCGTTGCCATTCCTGAGGACTCACGTGTTATTCCTCTGTACACAGTAAATTCACACCATATCCCACCCTCCAAACCGAAACACAGCCATGCAAACACAATTGCTTCACGGTTGAAACATGAATGGGACAGAGGTATCCAAGCAATCGACTTTTGTAGAAAGTCTCCCTCTGGTAAAGATTTGATGAGGACGGATATACATTTTCCTATTTTTTAGTTACTTTTATCTCGGTCAATGAATATAATTATCTCGATTAGTTGTTGCAGGTAAAGACTAGAACTTCATCATAATCGTCATTTTAGCCATTATCCGTCGACAACGCTAGAACTTATGCATTATTAATTAAATAAAATATATAGTTTAAACATAATACTTATTAGTAATTAAGTTTAAACTATATTTATTTATAAACACTAGCTGTAACCCGTGACATTGTATGCATGAATTACTATAAAAGAATTCTGTTTTATTTATTTATTCATTATTATTTTATTATTATTTATGCTAAAAGCATTCTCTACTAGTCAATATTAGGGAAGGGTAAGAATACTCAAATTAGGTACTAGTAATAATTGATATACATACATACTTAACTTTACATATATAAACATATAAATATATATTTATATGTTTGTATAAATATACTTACACATATATAAGATATACTATATTAAAGACGAAAAAATGCTTAAGATTAGATGTACAAGTGTGAAGGGAAAGTGTCAAATAATTAATTATACTAATTTCAATAACTGCTTAAATTTTCTACATATAGTTATAAAAAATAAATAAAAGTAAAAATGTATTTATTACCAAAGTATGTTTTTATAAGCACAAAGTTTAACACTGATCCATATATTGTACCATAGGCTAATTTTGTTTAAGGAAATAACGTTATATATATATGTAGGATTTATATTTAAATAAACACAACTTTTTAAATTAGAATGTAAACGTGATGTAAAACGCGATTAATGTTTTAATTTGTATAAAATAAAATATTTAAATTAGCAGAAAGTTTTGGGTTCGAATCGGGTTGCCGGAAAGTTTTTTAATCAGTTAATAACTTTTTGTAAGTGTTTGTGTTCATGTTTAGAGTAGTTTTTTTGTCAATAATAACTAAATCTTTTTTAAATCAATAGTATTAGTAATATCATTACATAGTATAAAATAAAGTCGTTTCCCGTCTGTCTGTCCCTATGTATGCTAAGATTTTTAACACAACGCAACGGATTTTGATGCGGTTTACTGTAATGGATAGAGTGATTCAAGGGGATGGTTTGTATGTAGAATACATGCATAATATAGTAGAAACACTGATAATTTTAGATGTTTTTATGATATATGGTGATATGCACCCGTTCGAAGCCGGGACAGGCTGCTATTCTGAAATAAAACTCTGTTTTAGTATAGAACACTAAAAATGTATAATGTTACTCGTATGATAATGACATAAAATATATTAGTTAGGTTCAAGAGTTTCAGAACTTTAGCTTTATAAATTAATAAAAAAGACACATGTTTTTTAACAACATATTTATCAACTGTTAATTTATGTTTGGTAATATTTTAAGTTCTCCTAATACTAAAGAGTCAAAGGCCGCCTATCTGTTACCACTGCGTGACACCATCTCACTTTTTTACAAATTTATATGACAAATATAAAGATTTGTATATTCGTTTAACACATAACGGTTGAAGTAAATAAACTACAATATATCTTTATTAGAGTTTTTTTATACTGAACTAATATTGTAAATATAAAAGTGAGTTTCTCTGCTACCCCGGTGCCTTAACGGCTCAACCAATTGTTACAAAATTTGACAAATGATATAGGTTACCTTTTATCCCTGTTGCGCAATTTAAGATTTTATTCTAAATAAAAGGAATTTACTATAGACATATTACTTACTCTTTTTTTAACGGACTTCAAAAAGAAGGGGGTTCTCAATACGCTTGTATTATTTTATGTTTGCTACTTCCATCAGTTTTAAAACGACTTGGAAAATTATTTTTTATCTGAAAACATATACCCACAGAATGGTGCCATAGAAATTTTATCAAAATCGGTTCAACAGTTTAATATTTAGACCAAAATTGTCACAAATAAAGTAGTTTTTTTTTTATAGAACACGTTTTAATTATTTAAATAAGTAGATGAAGTTTCATATATCATGTTGTCGTTATATATATATATATATATATATATATATATATATATATATATATATATATATATATATATATATATATATATATATTGTGCACACACAAGATTCTATGAACATTATTACGAAAAATTATGTACTAATATTCCAATGTTACATAACATTGGAATATAGCAACTTTTATTCTTATTGCAAATATAAATTGTTACTAATTAATGATATTGTTTTCATTATATTCCTAGAGTATATGTACTACGTTATACCAATTACGGCTTAATAAATGCAAATAATGATCTTTATGGTTTAATTGTTCAGAATATCGATATCTCGTTAGCACTCGGAATTATCACGATAGGTTGCGATCGATTTACCATCTGATGATGCCTCGTCTTAACAAGGAACATATACGCTGTAACATATATTTTGCCTCTTCAAATAGCTTTAAATGCTGTGCTTGTACAACCAGTTGAATCCAATTGTTCCAGCTGATTCCAGCTGATCATCAGTATCTAGCTTAATATGAAATATATTTTTTTATATACATACATACAAATATAGAGAGAAAAATCGAAATCATTAGTGTAGTCAGTATGTAAAGAATTTAGAACGAAAAAAAAATAGAAGAAAATTTCGTGAATAAAAAAATTTAAAACGGCAAGAAGAAATTGAGAGTCCCTTATTAATTTAGCAGTTGAACGCGCCGTCTTGGTATGGGAGACTCAAAATCATTTACCATTTTTTGACTCATTTTTTTTTGCTGACAAAACACTTCTTTCAAAAGGCATCACTGTTATCGTTATATATAACATTTTAACGAATAATTTGAAGATAACACAGAAAAATGTATAGGAATTTAGTGGACAATTAATTAAAAATTAATCAAAAAATATTTATAAAACGAAGCTTTTTTATTAAGTAGAAAATAAAAAAAATGCACATACAATTTATTAATAATTAGTTTTTTAAATCAAAAAATAATCATTTGTCAAAATAAATTGAAAATTTTAAATATGCTCTATTCAATGACACACAGTTTTTTTTTAAAGTAGCATCAACCGGTTCTATATTTAGAATTACCAAAAGAAAAAAAAATTGATAACATAATTATGAGAGGCAAAAATAAAGACTTATCTATTGTTTTTTCTAATAGTTTTGATCTTCTTTATTAGTTGCTAATATTGAAAGATTTTTATGGAAAGAGACTAGTAAACAATGAAAGTATCACAGCCTTTGTGTAATGTAATTTACGAGACAAAGTATGTATTATAATTTGTTGTGTATATATTCTAAAATATCAATAACAACTATAAGGTAACCTAATAATAATCTTTACAATTAATATAATTTAATATTATGAGTAAAAATAAATTATAAATTCGATGTTTATCCAACCGCCATTAAGAAAAGGAAAAAAAATTAACCATAGGCATAAAAACCATGCCCAGCTCCATGGCCACCAAAGAATAGACCCGTTCCAAAACCACCGTAAAATGTTCTAAATCTATTCATCTGCTCCTCCTCATCATTTTTCATCTTTTCCATTTGTACTTGATATCGGCTCAATTTCTGATCATCGTGCAATTGTCTGTGTAGGGGTATTACACTCAAATCATGTAAAAGTATCAGGTGATTGGGGTAAGAAACCGGTAATAATAAAGGTATCACAGCCGTTGGGTGCGTTAAATTGGATGAACTATGAGACAATGTATGGGTTATAATCGGTATTCTTATATTATCATTTGTCACTAAATGTTTTATGTCCGTATGAACTGAACTGTGATGAACGTTCGAGTGTGCTGGTAGTACATGCAACTTTGTTGGTACAAGAAGGTGATGGGTTATGGGAAGAGAATATGGTATATTTAGACCCTTTTTGTTTCTTGCACTTGTAGATAACAAAGCAACTTTATTAGGTTGCAGTAGAGGAGCCAAAACTGGTGGTATTTTATGATTCCCATGGTCGGGAATTGATATTGGTAGAGAGTTTGTATTCGCTCCAGTCTGTTGTACGTTGATGACTTCGTGAAGTTGAAAAACGAGAAGAAAAACTGACAGTTTTGTCGTCATCTGTAAAAGAAGTGATATTTATATTAAAATAGGTTATCCAGCATACTATCTAAAAAACTTGAAGAATTTTATAATATTGTTATTAGTTCATTAATTCTTATAATATTTATATGTTTAGTAGGTACTTTTATTATTTTCAAATAACTTCAAAAAGTAAAAGGATGTTAACTTTTCTATTTAATTTTTGTATGTTATGAATTACAATTGAATTGTGAATAATAGTAAATTCAAACGTGAAATAGAATCCGTATTATTTAAAAAATGATTAATTATCGATTTTTTTTTATAATTAGAATGGCAAACAAGCTCGGCCCACCTGATGGAAAGTCTTGCCTATAGACAAGTATGACAAAATTGTTTCGCCCATGATACTCCCCATGCGTTGTATTATTGTAACATAAATTCACGCCATATCCCACCATTCAAACAAACACAGTAATAAACAAACGGTTGAAACACGAATGGGACAGAGAAAGATCGACTTTAAAATCTCTCTCTAGTATTATAAATCTCACAAGTATGACAAAACTGTCGTATTATTGTAACATACAACATAATATACAAAAAGAAGTAGAGAAGATTTGAAATCTTTTCCTTTTTAAAGTAATTTTAATGTCAAGTCATATTTAAATTTCAGGAACATAACTTCAATATTCACTAAGGAAAGGTTTTTAAGGCTAGCGGTTTGTTTTGCAAATTTAATGTCTAAGATCATCAGAGGATGACCCTCGCGGCGTACCAATTAGTTTCCCTTTTTGTATATCATATATTCTCTGAGGACCCTTGACGTCAAATTTGCTACCTGCGGCCTAGCAAAACGCCAGACATAATCAGATCCCCGAGGAGTATGTGACAACCGTTTGTCAACTTATTTGGGAAATGACGAGCGAATTTTCACGTGGGAAACAAATTGTCCATTTGTAGATATATAGCTGTTCTGATTTTACTATAAAGTATAAAAGTAAAAAAAAAAAACTTATTATAAAATGTATTTTTTTTTTATTATTAGGAAATTAAATTTGGTTCTCTCGTTAAACAGAATTAAAATTAACGTGTCTATCTACTAATGCTAATTTTATTGAAATGCGTTTAGTTTAGTTTTGTATGAGTAGTTAATACTTAAATATCTTTTTTATATTTCTAGATTTTAGTAAAAAACTTTTTGGTTTTGTTAAATTAATATAAAAAAAGATATTAACAAAAGTTGTTAGAATGGCTACCCAAGTGGGAGCACTTGTGTTTAGTTTAAATTAAATTGGTGAGTTTACAAGCAAGAAATTCTTTACGACGCGAGTACTAAACGATATCCTGGAAAAAGGAGGTGCCTTGCGCAGAGGAAGCCGTGTGCAATGGTTAGGTATATTAAAAAAAAATTGTCATTTATATATTTTTACTATTAATTTATTATCTTAACATTTTTATACGATATGATAACCTCTATGGTCCAGTAATGGCGCTCGTTGTTTTGCGTAATAAGATTCCGGGTTCGAGGCTAAATTGGGTTTGGGCTGAATGTTTTGGGCCTTTAGATATTCATTGCCTGGTTTCTCATAGCACAGGGTATTTTAGCCATTAGTTTTTTTTATGCTACAAACAAGCTGATGGCGACCCTGATGGAAAGTGGTAACCGTCGCCTATAGATATGAGAAGTACATGGACATAACAGAGTATAATGTTTCGCCCATGATACCCCCCCCCCCCCCCTATGCGTTGCCATTCTTGAGGACTCAGATGTTATTCCTCTGTACTCTGAAAATTCATATCCCACCCGTCAAACCATCCCAATTCATTTCATCCCAACCACCTGGACAGCCCTCCATGCAAACACAACTAATCAACTTTCAGCAGGTTTTCCGAAACGACAACATAACCTTCAAGAATGGAATGGGACAGAGGTACCCATGCAAACGACTTATGTACGAGTCAAAGTCTGCCTCTGGTAGTTGGGCAGGTAATTGTGGTACTATTATGTAACTGTGTGGTTCTAACCATATCTATATATATTTTTAAATAAATATCTGCATGGTATCGTAGAAAATGGTATCAGTTCATAAATAATGCAAATAGTTGTTGAATTTTAGTTGCGAAAACTTTTGGCCAAAATCCGTCGCTTTTACCGGACTTACCTAAGTAACGGAACATCTGGTTTCATGTTAATATATCATACGAGTACCCGCAGGTTCACTTGCGTTATAAATTATGTATAAATTGTACGTTATGTCAACTAACCTTTAGTTTACATATTACATTATATACTCTTATCTATTATTATACCTCTATTAAAATAATATTGCCTTATTCTTATATATTACGTCGTCATGTTTCAGTATATTTCGTAACGCGTTTTAAGTCATTATATGTAGAATAATATTATAGCAGTTTTTTTTTTTGCGAGAGAGACATGCATTGCCTTGGGGCTCCGACGTAGTTAATCCGGCTTTATTTACACATCTAGAATAAAAGAAATAATAGTCTTTACAATTACTTAATTAGTGTTATTTGCGGTGACTGCTCAGTTGGACAACGTTTAACTGTATTATTTAAAAAAAAGTTAATTTTTATTTTAAAGGTATGAAAAACACCGTTTGGTGTAATAATTAGAACAGACCAGGCTTTTCAAGCAGTAATTAAACTTCCATATGGCAGTTGCGCTAACCATCACTGTAGTCTAGATGTCTTAGAAGGAAAAAGACAAACGTGGCTTACTATGTTACCACATGTTTAAATCTTCTGAAACAGTCCTAAAAATCCTAATTATTTCCTGAGATCCGTAAAGGGATGTATGCGATGTAGGTACTCCATTTTTAATGAATCTGCTCGAACGACGAAGATTATTCATTCAAAGGATTAATTCCACCGAGTAATAAGATTTGAACCGAAGCCCCTCATGTCTTGCGACTAAGCTCGATTCTTTTGTCTCTTTGATGCGATGTAGGTATAGAACGGAGCTCGGCAGTCTTCTAAGCATCGTTATGGTTTCTGATCTCATTTCATAGGTATCTTGCCTGATGAGTACCTACTACGTATATTACGAAGTATCTATATTAATTGAATAGAGGTGCATTGTAGTGAATTAGATTGTTCTAATGAATTAAAGTTTAGGGCTGCTTAATGCGATCTGATATTTATTGGCGTCGATATAATAACAACGAAATTAAGGATAATATTTAAAATTTCTTTTTTTTCACTTAATCTATTTATGTCAAATGTTGTCTTTGATGCACTGAATTTGTTGATCATTTTGCAATCTAAAGAGTTTACCCTCGTGTTAGACAGTCTCACAAAATCATAAAAAAAAATTAAGTTTAAAATAATTTGTAGATTTATATGATATTTTTGTTAAAAATATTATAATTTTTGTATCAACAAAATGTGTGATTGAAACAAAGCGAATTTTATTATATACTTCGTATATATATCTCACGGATATATAGTTATAAGTACGGCAACACATCTATTCAAATTAAACAAAGTATCTACGAATTAGAATCCTAGAAGCTCGCGCTCCGAGAGAATAATTTATTACGTATGAGTAATAAATAACTTCGAAATCTTCACATACTCTTGAGTATTTATATCTTTTTCTTATATATAATACATTGTGTATTTTTTTTATTTTATAAGTAATAATAAAGTTTTATGAGTAAAATAAAATTAATAAAGTAAGGAAATTGCGATATTAATTAATTCTTTTTCTAATTATTTGCTATAACCACGAGATTATAACATTTAGGATATACACGTAGTGTGAATTTCTTTTATATAGTTTTCGTTATTGTTTGAAAAATTGCAATATCACTATGAAAATTGATAGTATGCTTTAATAGAACTATAATATTTTAATGGAAAATAAAATGAATATAATAAAAAGTAACAAAGTATTGTTAAAATTATCACACAAACACTCTCTAAATGAAATTATTTAATTCAGTCAATAACCCGATTTTTGATTTGTACTTTTATTGGAATAACTACATGGGACAGACATAAAGGAAACACTAGGTGCCATGTCGTATAGGGAGGTCAAAGATACGGCCTGAGATAGAGCTGGCTGGAAGAAAATGCACGAATTAGTTGCACCGACAAGAGGAAACTCTTAAAGAAAAGAAGAAGACTATTATTGGATATGACCAGACTATGTTATGGGTCAACAATAATTTATTTATATTTTCATTAAGTTCTTTTGAAGAGAGATATATGCACTTATGAAAAAAAATGGGCGAAAATAAATCTAACGTGTATTACATTGATGACCTTGATACTGTAAAGGAGTAACACATTCGTACAATAATTATTCTCGAATCATGCATTATTTAGTGTTTATTTTTACTTACTTTATTTTTAATTTGAAAACTTTTTAATGCAATATCTTCAATATATGTATATATATAGCCAACCAAGCTTATGTACTAAAGCTTTTGGAAAACTGCTTGAGTTTTGTGGAAGATAAAAAGACAATTTAAGAGCATTTCTTTAGAATAATATATAATTTTATTTTTATTAAGTAGATTCGTAAATTATTTTTCACTTAGGTATTATAGAAGTACCTTACCTTGATGATTATGCACTGATAAAAACATGAAATTATTGATTTAAAGTCCAAATATTTCTCTCCATGTCGCGTTAGTAGGTATCACATTATTTTAAAATTTGTAAGTGCTTAAATTTATAACTTTTTTAATATTTAATTTTATGCTAGTGGCACGGTCAACTTGTCACTATAAACTGTATTTGAGACATGGGTTCAAGTTGTTGTCGCGTGTGGCTTACTGAGATTGAAGCCATGAAATTGGCGTTTAAACCATTCGAATTTAGGAAATATTCTACTCTAATCTTTATTATTTATAATTTTTTTTAGGATTTGGTAATCTATTTACCCGCAACTTCGTCAATATGACCAGGATAATGTTGATTGCTCAGATAAAAAGTATTCTATGCCTTCTGCATCCTAAATAGTAATACCAAATTCAATAATAGTAAAAGATAGTAAGCGATTTTACTCGTTATTTACATTTGCTATGAAAACAATTAATACCTATGACTGTAACTCCAGATGTTATGTCATAGACAAAGGGAATCTTACAAAATTTATTATAGAATATTAATGATATTTCATGTTTAGTAAGTGAATAGTGATTTTAAAAAAAAAAAGATCTTTAAATATGGTAGAATTATAATAATTAATAAAAGAGATTGTTTCTTTTAATTTATATAAATCAGTTACTAGTCTAATAGTTTATTTAGGTTATTCAGTATTAATTTGTAAGTTTGTGAATCTTTCTAATAATATGTATGTATCTATAACACGTAGTGGCTCTACATAATCGCAGTTGTTGTAAATAGCGTAAATATGCAATGCTTGGAGAAAGGCCGAAAATAAATGACTTGAATATTTTTATTATGAATATTATGTTGCTATAGTGACATTAGGTTAAATATATTTTAATCTATAGGATAAAATATAAATACATAAACACTTATAGGCCATCTGATAAAAACTGGCAACTGTTAAATGACATAAACAAAGTTATGAATGGAATAAATTGATAAAATGTGACACCCCTAGATTAAGGATCACTACTGTTAATCTAAAGCGACGGCCACAGTAATCAAGGGTTGTTATAATAGTATTATAGGGCCATGACCACAGATATAATTTAGATGGAGATAATGGACTTGAGTAATTCAATCTACATGAAAAGTTACTGTGCTACTATTCAACTCCTTGTACACAATATTACAGAATTAAATTATTTATTCATAGCTAATAACCGTAAGCACCATATTCTTCCGAAAATTATATTATAATAATATGTAAATATTTTGTATAGCACAGTGTATGTTGCGATAGCAGCAGTGCTGTTGATGTTCTTAGATTGCTTTCATCAATTGTGTTGTCAGTTTGTTTGTTATTCAAATTAATATAAAATTTAATATGAAACATTTTAGAAATATCCCAATAATAATCGTATTCATATTTTTAAAGACAATGTTTTTACTATATTGTCCGAAATACTTACATATATAGCTACTGTTTGCACGTTTAGTTAAACAACTAAGTGTAATGGCCATACAAAGGTGTGTAATGCAAGTAGCATGCAAGTAACGTATCAGAGAAAGGCCAGGGATTGTATCCTTCAAGGGTAATAAAATGTGTCCGATTTGAATATCAATTGCCTCTCTATAAAGTTTACTTGATACTAGAATACGTGTTTGTATTTGAGTTTGTTTGTTTTTATTATCTTTCTGAGTTCAATGACATTTAACAGAAATAACACAGAAAGTAATAAATTGTAGTAAAATATAAATGGACTGTTAGTGTGAGAAATATTAATTAAATAAAAAATAACTTCGGTCAATTAATCAACAAAGTGCATTTTTACATAGAGCTGATTAAAAATTCATATGTCAACAAGTTTTTTTTTTTAATTTTTAGGATTCCTTATGATATTATTCTCGGCTTTTTTCAATATGATATTGGAAAAAGATAAAAATGACAATTGCAAAAATAAAATGTAAAAGAAAGATCTAGGAAAGAAGATTATAAAAGATAATTTAAGATTTTGTTACTTTTTAGCTACGAAACATCCGGCTAATGTAAAAAGAATTATGAAAACAAATTTATAATTGGTGATCGCGTAATGTACACGTAAAAGACAATAATTAAGTTTAATTTTTTTTTAAAAAGAGAATATAAGTTATTTTTAATAGAATATAGAAGTCAATAGAGACAAAATATTGAAAGACTTTGTTTGTCGAATCAATGATGTAGGATAAATACAGGAAAATACGTTTCTTTTTTTATATTATATTTTATTTCAGTAGGTACATATTACAGAGAATTAATAATATTACATTAATTTTTACCGTACAATTATGTTTTGTATATATGAACACACATACGGAACCTCAGGCCTTTCTATTACCAGTTACATTCACACCTTTGTCGTCTATTATATTTCTTACCTATATCTATACAAGTACTTACCTAACTTCTCCATTAGTCAACTGAACATTGAATAATGATGTTGCATATTGAATTCAATTTAAACACTCACAAATCAAAACCAGTGAGCCTTAAAACCTACATAGCTAGTCAAAAAAGTTAATCGGACGAAGAAAGGCGAGGTCGAATAGAGTTGAAAGGAAGGCCACTCGATTTACATATGCGTAAAATTAACATAGAGCTGATTCTGCGGGGATATCCGAGGTGGAACAAAAGGTTCGCCTGCGCGCAACGAAGGGTTCGCCGCTATTACAGTTACAGAGCAGCTGGTATTTTAATAGAACACCTGCAATGATATATTGCCCTAGTACTTTGTCACAGTGATATTAACGGCTTTCAATACTATTTCATCAGTGAAAGGTTAATGCGACAAGGTATTATATTACATTGCATGTCTATGTAATTCTTATCAGTAATTTACTGTTAAATAAAATATCTTGTGGAAATTTTTCACACATATTTAAACTATTCAAAATAGCAAATTAGCAAAGCAGTGTTACTAATCAAATATGATTTATTTGCCACTAGCTATTTCAGGCGACTTTGCTCGCATGTATCAGTGTATAAAGTATCGTAAGTGTTAACTTACGATACTAATCCGTGTGCCAAATTTCACTTAAATTCATTTAATTGTGTATATGAGGGGAAAGGGATTGTTAGTATTGTGGATCTTACAGCTTCATCACCTCCATGCGGTTTGTCCTAGAAACTATCTTGATTAATTCTTTATGAATTCATTACTATAGGCAAACTGACCTGCTTTCATTCTCATCTGTCATCTCTCATTGGTGCCCCGCCAGTGTATACTGGGAGTACAAGCGGGGTTACCATTACATTGTCATCCATTAAAGAAAAAACTGATTATACGTAATTGAGTAACAAATATCTAAACATATTTAAAAACTTTCACATTTAAAATATTAAATAGGATGTGTAAAAATACTCGTAATGTAATAACATAAAGAGTTCTATTTTTAATCTTTGATCTTCATTAAAAGAGATTGCCATATTCTTAATCTATTTTTGCCTTTTTCTCCTCCCCTCCTACACCTGCTCCTTTCATTCAATGTATTATTCCATTTTAAACTTTTGTCATCTATTTCGTATTATTAAGTACAATAACTTTAAAATGCTAATGTTTATTTTAATCAAGGTGAAAGTTTATCCCACTGTGGTCGAATTAAACGAGGCAAGGTCAACAAACGTTGGAATAACAAACGATCCTTTCTTAATTAAGCTAACCATTCCTACTATGTGTAATATGTGGCATGTTCTGTTATAAACTGGTCTACATATTGTCTTCGTGCTATTGTTGTAAACGACACGGGTCGCACACAATTAGCATCAAAATGATATTATAATCACATCTCGACCTCTTAGGCACTGTTTAGATTAGAATAGTTGAATGAGATTTTATGTTCACTAAGATCTGATTGATTCAGATACTGCCTCACCTTTCAGGTACTGTGGGCTCGGTCATTGCACATTTTGAACATTAATTATTAATAAATTAATAATTATTTGTTTTTAATAGACTAACATTGTTTAATCATTTTCTGTATATTATTATTATGTACTAAAAATGTTATTGGGTTTCCTGCTTGTTACTGTTAGTTACTTAGTACTAACTAACAATATGCAATAAAATAAGCTTTGCTTAGTTTTGGACTAAACGGCGTTATGTGACACATTCAGAGTTATTTTATCTATATAGGTATTTGTTATACTATAAGTAACTCACGGCGCTGCCGTATACTATATAAATTCAGGAGGTACTCTGTCTATATGTTACGATAAGAGGTTTTAAATATCAATATAATTTTGATGGTAGGTGGACTGATGTCAGTGGCGAATTTACACATTTGCTGCCAGTAGATTGTTTAAATTTTGTCGCCTCTGCCAACCTCTAAAATTCGATATCCTATTTCATAATATTAATAATTTTTTTTGCTAATAAGATCGATAATTAATGATAAAAAAAAGATGTAGGTAATTTGCTGTTTCTAAAATCTGCCACACTAAGCTCTAACATACCCAGTTTGCTGGTAAATCTGCCACTGACCGATGTCAAATAGAATGCTGCAATGCAAAATGTACATATAAAAATAAATATAGGCGTGATTATAATTGATAGATCCTTAATTAACGTCATTATTTCTTTTTATACTATGAAAGTGGTAAACAAGCATACATGCTGTCTGATGGTAAGCGGCCACTGTAGTCAATAGACGCTTGTAACTTTAGGGGTAACAAGTGCTTCTTGCCGATATTATAAAAAATATTGGCAAGGACTTCAGTCACAGGCGGCCGGCAGCACACCTGCAATGCCGCTGGTGTTGTGGGTGATCATGGGCGGCGGTAGTCAATTACCATCAGGTGAGCCGCATGCTCGTTTGCCCCCTGTGTTGTAAAAAAAAAAAAAAAAGGCTGAGCGTTCGCGACAGAAAAATTTCCTTTAAAACCGCACTGTACGTGATCATTTAGGTTCTAGCGTGTGAGGATGAACTTTTTTTGATAGCGAGCAGTGCATTGATAAAATGTGGCAGTGAGTGTTGTATTTATTAATAGTTATATTACTTACTAGAAGTCCACAATCAAGTTTTGTGGAATACCTAAAGAGGGCACAAGTCAACTATCTAAAGAGAATATAAGCTCTGAAGGCTTCCCATTGTTGAGTTAAGCGTTCAAGTCTATGAGTTTGTTTTCGATATATTGTTAGTCTAAAAACTAACGATTT